GGAGGCTGAGGCAGGAGAATTGCCTGAACCCAGGAGGCGGAGGTTGCGGCGGGCCGAGATCGCGCCATTGCACTCCAGCCTGGGCAACAAAAGTGAAACTCCGTCTCAAAAAAAAAAAAAAAACACCAATGGTATGAAATTATTACACTATATTTACACTATATTTTGCTTTTTTGTGGATTTTTAAAAAAGAGACAGTCTCGCTCTGTTGCCCAGGTTGGAGTGCAGTGCTGCAATCACAGCTCATGGCAGCCTCAAACTCCCACCTCAGCCTCCTAAAATTTTGGGAGTACAGGAGAGAGATCCAAGATGGCCAACTAGCAGCAGCTCAGGATTGCAGCTCCCACTGAAGGCGCAGGGAGTGACTGGACGCCAGACTTCGAGACGAATTTTTGTTGCCTACGGACCGGACCGGGAGATTCCCAGCAGAGGAGCCCCACGGGTCACCAGCGCGACTCTTTTGGCCGGCATGGCTGTTTTGCCGGTGTCCCGGCGCAGCGGTTCTCAGTGCAGAGTGTGCGGGACTGGGTGCCCTTTTGGTTGGCGTTTGGAGCTCCGGGAAGGCAGAGTCGCCCATTCAGCTGATTGAAAAGGGGACTGAAGCCGGGAGCCAGACTGGGAGATTCCTGGGCAGAAAAGCGCCACGAATCTCAGCGCCGCTTTTTCAGCCGGCGCAGTTGCCGCACGGGAAATTACATAGATCCCGGCGCCTTTTCGGCGGGTGACTGGGGCACCAGGGAGAGAATCAACCATTCAATTAGGAAAAGAAAAAAAGTGGGCTCCGAGGCAGGGAGCCAGGTGATCGGGCTCAGCTGGTCCCACCCCCACAAGAAAACAGCAATTGGAAACGCTGAGGGTTGAGTTTCACAGCAAGCACAGCTGAGCCCGGGAAGGTCCAGCTCTGTGGGGGAGGGGCATCCGCCAAAGGAAAACAAAGAAACAGAAATAACATCACCACCAACAAGCTGGACGTTCACTCAGAGACCCAATCTGAAAGTCAGCAATTACAAAGACGACAGGTGGATAAATCCACAAAGATGGGAAGAAACCAGTGCAAAAAGGCTGAAAACATCCGAAATCAGAATGCCTCTCCTCCTTCAGGGGATCGCAGCTCTTCATCAGCAAGGGAACAAGGCCTGATGGAGAATGAGTGATGAATTTTCAGAAGCAGGCTTCAGAATGTGGATAATAAGAAACTTCTGTGAGCTAAAAGAACATGTTCTAACCCAATGCAAAGAAGCTAAGAACCTTGAAAAAACGTTTGACAAAATGCTAACGAGAATAGACAATTTAGAGAGGAATATAAGTGAATTAATGGAGCTGAAAAACACGAGAACTTCGCGAAGTATGCACAAGTTTTAACAGTTGAATTGATCAAGCAGAAGAAAGGATATCAGAGGCTGAAGACCAACTCAATGAAATAAAACGAGAAGACAAGATTAGAGAAAAAAGGGTAAAAAGGAATGAGCTAAGTCTCCAAGAAATATGGGACTATGTGAAAAGACCTAATCTATGTTTGATAGGTGTACCTGAATGTGACGAAGAGAATGAATCCAAGCTGGAAAATATTCTTCAGGATATTATTCAGGAAAACTTTCCCAACCTAGAAAGGCAGGACAATATTCAGCTCCAGGAAATACAGAGAACACCACAAAGATATTCCTCAAGAAGAGCAACCCCAAGGCACATAATCGTCAGATTCACCAGGGTTGAAATGAAGGAGAAAATGCTAAGGGCAGCTAGAGAGAAAGGTCAGGTTACCCACAAAGGGAAGCCTATCAGACTCACAGCAGATCTCTCAGCAGAAACCCTACAAGCCAGAAGAGAGTGGGGGCCAATATTGAAGATCCTTAAAGAACTTTCAACCCAGAATTTCATATCCAGTCAAACTACGCTTCATAAGTGAAGGAAAAATAAAATCTTTTGTGAACAAGCAAGTACTCAGAGATTTCATCACCACCAGGCCTGCTTTACAAGAGCTTCTGAAAGAAGCACTACACACAGAAAGGAACAACCAGAATCAGCCATTCCAAAAATATACCAAAAGGTAAAGAGCATCAACATAATGAAGAATCTATATCAACTAATGGGCAAAACAGCCAGCTAGCATCAAATGGCAGTATTAAACTCACATATATTATTATTAATCCTAAATTTAAATGACCCAATTAAAAGACACAGACAGGCAAAATGGATAAAAAGCCAAAACCCATCAGTATGCTGCATCCAGACCCATCTCACATGCAAGGATACACAAAGACTCAAAACAAAGGGATGGAGGAAGATTTACCAACCAAATGGAGAGCAAAAAATAAATAAATAAATAAAAAGCAGGAGTTGCAATTCTCGCCTCCGATAAAATAGACTTTAAAGCAACAAAGTTCAAAAGAGACAAAGAAGGACATTACATAATGGTAAAAGGATCAATGCAACAAGAAGAGCTAACGATCCTAAATATATATGCACCCAATACAGGAGCACCCAGATACATAAGGCAAGTTCTTAATGACTTATAAAGAGACTTAGACTCCCACACAATAATAGTGGGAGACTTCAACATCAATATTAGACAGATCAACGAGACAGAAAATTAACAAGGATATCCAGGACTTGAACTCAGACCTGGAACAAGTAAACTTAATAAACACTTACAGAACTCTCCACCCCAAATTCACAAAACATACATTCTTATCAGTACCACATCACACCTACTCTAAAAGTGACTACATAATTGGAAGTAAATCACTCCTCAGTAATTACATAGCATTTCACAAGTTTAAATGAAATATTGGTTGGCTGCTTGTTTGTTATTTTCCTCCCTTATTCCTTCCCGTCTCCATTGTTAAGCATGATTATTGGCATAAAAAAGGTTTTCAATACCCATTTTTAGATTGCATTCTAGCCTGGGCAATAAAGCAAGGCTTCCATTCTCTCCCCCTTTCTCTTTCTTTCCCTCTTTCCTTCCTTTTTTCTTTAAAAAAAAAAAATTGGGGGATTACAGGTGTGAGCCATCACATCCTATTTTGCTTTTTAATTTATATATTTTGGACTTTTTCATATCAGTTTATTCATATCAATCCCATTATAACTGCTACAGAGTAATCAATTTTTATTAAAGTATCAATTTATTTATAAGGTTTCTTACTATTAATTACTTAGGTTGTTTTAACCTTTTCATATAATACTGCAATACACAGCTTTGCTTACATTCTTAGGCATCTAGTTAAGTATGCATCTCAAGGATATGAAAAATTACCTAGAAATGGAAATGTTGGGTCAAAAATATGTACGTTAAAACTGATCTCCAATGAGTTTGCATTAATTTATACTTTCATAATTGACGTTTTTCCACTCTCTGAAGGACACTGGATGCTATTATAATTTTACTCTTTGCCAGTCTTCTGGGTGAAAAATGAAAGCCCGTTTTCTTGAGACCTACTTATTCCTCTCTATTGCCTGTTTACATCTTTGCTTATTTTTTATTGTCTTATTTACTAATTTGTATATGGTATTATTTATAATCTATACATAGAGGAATTTGGTCCTTTGTAACAAGTATTAGAATTATGTCCTCCCAGTTTGTTGTTTGGTGTGGTTCATCATTTTGCTTGTATAGATACTTTAAATTTTTGTGTGATCAAATATTTCCTTGTATTAAGCCTTTCCTACTTAAAGATTATAGTAGATATTTGGCTGGGCACAGTGGCTCACACCTGTAATCCCAAGCACTTCGGGAGGCCAAGGCGGGCAGATCATGAGGTCGGAAGATCGAGACCATCCTGGCCAACATGGTGAAACCTCATCTCTACCAAAATACAAAAAATTAGCTGGGCGTGGGGGCGTGTGCCTGTACTTCCAGCTACTCGGGAGGCTGAGGCAGGGGAATTGCTTGAACCCAGGAGATGGAGGTTGCAGTGAGCCCAGATTGTGCCACTACACTCCAGCCTGTCCAGCCTGGCAACAGAGCTTTCTTGCACTGCTTTCATAGCTTCGTTAACAAAATTAAAACAAACAAAAAACCTAATCCTTTGACACACAGGAATTTACTCTGGGGAAACTTATTTAGGATACCACTATGAATTCCCCCCACCCCACCCAACCCCAGCCCAGTTGCTAGCCACAGAAACATGAACAAATGAATAAAAGCCGAGACACTCAGCAGCACTGATTCCTTGACTCCCTGTGTAGTCTCTTATCTCTTGTCAGGCCTGTAGCTAGTACCAGATCACCCCTCTGATTCTGGATTTATCCATGCTGGTTAAGTGGAAATGAGGGTGGTGGAGCACACACATTTCCTTAATCTAAACAACGTCTTGTCCATTAATGATTTGTTTTTAAGTACTGCATACCTCTGGAATCTTTGTTAAAAACTTGTACTTTTTTAACAGCAGGGTTTCTTAACAGGGACACTATTGGCATTTTTTTTTTTTTGAGATGGAGTCTCACTCTGTCACCCAGGCTGGTGTACAGTGGCATTATCTTAGCTCACTGTAACCTCCACCTCCCAGGTTTAAGTGATTCTCCTGCCTCCGCCTCTCAAGTAGCTGGGAATACAGGCGCTGTGCCACCATCTCTGGCTAATTTTTAGTAGTAGGGAGTAGTTTAACTATGTTGGACAGGCTGGTCTTGAATGCCTGACCTCAAGTGATCCACCCACATCAGCCTCTCAGTGCTGGGATTACAGGCAGGAGCCCTGTGGCCGGCATCCCCCACCCCCCTCCTTTTTGAGACAAGGTCTTGCTCTGTCACCCAGGCTGGAGTACAGTGGCTCAATTACGGCTCACTGCAGTCTCAACTTCCCCAGCTCCAGTGATCCTCCCACCTCAGATTCCTGAGTAGCTAGGACCATAGGTGTGTGCCCCACACCCAGCTAGTTTTTGTATTTTTGGTAAAGATGGGGTTTTGCCATGTTGCCCAGGCTGACGTCCAGTTCCTGAGCTCAAGCGATCCACCTGCCTCAGCCTCCCAAAGTGCTGAGATTACAGGCGTGAGCCCCTGCACCTGGCACTATTGGCATGTTGGCCAAATAATTATTCATTTTGTGGGGCTGTCTGTGCATTATAGGATGTTTAGTGCAATTCCTGATCTCCCTCCACCCACCAGTAGCACCCTCCCCCTTTTCTTTAGTTGTAGCTTCTATATTGATATAGGCAAACTACTTTTTTCCTTCTTTAGAAGAGGTATTTTATTTTGCTCTTTCTATTACACAGGATATATTTCTTAAGTGTTAAAGTCAAGATACAAACAATATATTCTACAACTGGGCACTACTTTAATTGAACAGGCAAAGAAATTACACTAAACAACAACATCTGGTACTATCTGGCGGAAAATAAAATGACTAAAATAGGTTTAAAGTAGTACTACTAAATCACCTAATATCAATACTACATAACCCAATACAGCTAAAATGCAAAATATGTTAACATCTAAGAATACGACCAAAATTAAAACCAGCAACACCTATATAACTTTTTTAAGCAGGAAAATATTTCGTGTATGCATATAATTGTTCACTCCTTTAATGTAAATCTTTCCCAAAGTTATCAACCTCCAGAAAAACCAGACTCATTAAGCATATTCCTAAAAGTATAAACATGAACATTTTAAATTAAAAAAAAATTTAAAACATTGTAAACAATAAATGAACTTCCTATTTCTAAGAATGTGAAAAGTCCCGTTTTAAACACAGTTTGTAAGCATTGTGTCTTGATGTGAAGTCCACAAATTTTTCTCCTGTTGGGACCAAACTTTACAAAAACACTGTTACAGAACAAGCTACGGCATCTTAGCAATATTATCTTATGTCAAGGTTTACTTTTTTAAAAACTTTTAGATTGCATTTTACTACTCTAAGAAAACACAAACCTTAGATGTGTAGCATTCATTTTTTAAAACTCTTAGAAAAACATATAAAGCTTGGAGAGGCATATTTATTCCCTACCACAGTCCTGGAAGCCTGGAAGATGATTCCCAAGTCTGAGAGAGGTCTTCTCCTTTTCACTGGCTGTTTTTGTTCTTCACATGCGTTAACATATGCGTTTTCAGGTTGGTCGACTGGGCGAATCTCCTATTGCAAATATCGAAAGGGCACACGAAGGGCTTGTCGCCGGTGTGGATGCGCACATGGGTGCGCAAATTGAAATCAAGGGAAAAGCGTTTCCCGCAACCTTCGAACGTGCACTGAAAGGGTTTCTCGCCCGTGTGAACCAGCTGATGTCGTTTCAGCTTTGAGCTCTCAATAAAAGCTTTGCCACATTCTGCACATACGTGGACTCTGGGCCCGTGGATGTGGAGATGTTTCCTCATGGCGCCGTAATCCCTGAACATCTTTTCGCAGCCAATATGAGCGCAAGGGACTGTTTTGGGAGGTTCTTCTTTGGACCTTTTGGGCTTCATTTTAGTAAATTCTGCCAGCTGTTTGGGATCTGAGAGATCGATTCCTGGTAATCCTTCAGGAGGAAGTTTTTTCCCTTTCAAGTACTCGGAATAATCAGGTGAGTTATCAGCCCGGCCTTCACCCACTCTCCCTTTGTCATTGTTATCACTAGGGGACCACATAGTCACGGAAAACTCACCCCCGAGCGTCGTGATCTGCATTTGCTTCTGCCCCCACTTCTTGTTACCCTCGTTGGGGCTGCTGTCTGCCGGCTTGGCCTCAGTGCTGGTGGCACCGCTGTTGCTGGCCTTTTGGCTGGGCTTTCTGCTGCGCTTTCTGCTGCGGCTCTGTGTTGATGTCGATGCCGCCGAGGCTGCCAGAGAGGCCAGGGTCTGCTGGAAGTGCTCATCTTCACTGCTATCCGGCATGACCAACTGGTCCTCGGTATCATTGCCTGGCACGCTGCCTGAACTGCAGTAGTTCACCACTTCCTCTTGTGTCTGCACCATGATCATTTCCTGGTCGTGGTCGCCATAGCCCATGTTCCCGAAGAGCGGCTGCACCGTGAGCAGAGGCGGGTGGTTGTGGCCACCGTGGACCCAACTGCCAGCAAGATCCTCGTACTGAATGCTTTCCATCGGAATGTCCTCCATAGGAAGGGGCTCCACATTGATGTCCTTGAGATCTACCGGGACCTCCGAGTCTTGTGTGACGTAGAAATCTTCGTTTGAAGCCATGGCTGAGAGTTAGGTAGCAGCCTTAGCTACTGGTGCCTCCGCAGTTTGTAGGCAACTAGAAGACCGTGGGAAAAAGAAGGCTGAAGGGAGTGAGGCGCAAACTGCCGAGAACGGCTGTGCGAGCTGCCGAGAAAGGCGGCGCGAGCGGCCGAAGAGGTGCCAGTTGCCGAGAAAGCGGAGCGAGCTGCCGAGAAAGGCGGCGCGAGCTGCCGAGAAAGGCGCCAGTCTGAGAGGAAGGCGCGAGTCTGAGAAAAAGGCGCGAGTCTGAGAAAAAGGCGCGAGTCTGAGGAAGGCGCCAATCTGAGGAAGGCGCGAGTCTGAGGAAGGCGCCAATCTGAGAAAGGCTCGAGCGAGCAGTTGAGGCGGAAGGCCCAAGTGCTTCTGGGATAGCCATGCGCATGCGCCTGTGCATCTGGCGCGCTGCCCCGAAAGCACGTGCACGTGCCCGTGCCCACGTACTCACGTACATGCCCACGTACCCACGCACATGCCCAAGTCCTCAAGTGCGCCACCCTGCGGCCCCGTCCAGCTATTGTTCAAATATTTCGTAAGCAGGCTCTTTACTGATTTTTTAATGTATTTCATTTCAGTTGATTTTCATGTCTTTCCTTCCTTTCCATCCCATATAACAGTATCTGCCAAAAAAAAGCCTACTCCTATGCTTTTTTCTCTTATTTAATTTCACTAACATGACATTTAATATCAGTAATAGTAGATAGCAAAATTGCTTGTCTTGTCCTTTAATAGGAATGCTAAGTGTTATGCCATTATTATGCAGCTATTCCTACTTTTACTAAGGATTTTTTTAAAGTATTAATGGATGTTGAATTTTGTTAAATACTGTCTCAGTATCTTCTGAGATGAATTTTTCCCTAATGGCAATTAATATTGGTCACATTCAAACTGATTTCCTAATGTTCAACCACTCTTGTATTCTTGATAGGCCATG